TGTTATAAAGAGAAGGCTCATGTATTGAGTCGAAATGGTTACTGGTGACAAAGCTTGAGTTTATCATCATGAATTTGAGTTGTAACAAGACTCCATGTAGTGACATAAAAAGGGTGCAGCAACTCTCCAAGAAGTTAAGTTAAGTTAAGGTGGGATCCAGTCAACTGGAAAACTCAATGCAACATAAAGGTCTTTCAATAACTGAAGAGCTCTACGCTTACACATCAGAGCAAATAAAAGAAACCATTAGGGAGTACAGATGGGGAAAATTGATGAAAGGTCTGCCTGCATAAGGTGGGCTTCGATATTTTGAATCACCTACCCTTCAGCCCAGACCTGTTTCCGAGTGATTATTACCAGTTTCCTTTCCATTAAACTTGCGTTCTAGCTCGACAATGAGAATTATAAGTACACAATTTTATCGCACTCAGTCCGTTGCTGACTTTGTACTTTTGATCAGAGCTTCTAGCAAAATTTTAACATATTCGGCCTAGATTAGATTAAATTGAATTGGCTGACCCACTGGGTCTATCTAGACGATATTAAATCCATGATATAGGCAGATACACTACAGTGTCTCATGTACGTGTCTCACTGTCTCTACACTTTAACTAGCGGGTCAAATGGGTCAGATAGTAAATGAGGACTAGAAGAAATAGTCATCGCATTCGCGACTCGGCTGCCACGTCATTGTTGACAGTCATAACTTTGGAGTCCTAGATAATTTCGTCCATCTAGGAACCTGTATTAACACCAATAACCATGTCAGCCTGGACACCCAACGCAGAATCACTCTTACCAAAAGGTGCTACTTTGAACTGACGAGGCAGTTGAAATGTAAAGTCCTCTCCCGACGAAAGAAAACCAAACTCTACAAGTCGCTCATCTCATCGGTCCTACTACATGGTGCAGAAGCGTGGACGATGTTAAAATGTGATGAATCGAACCCTGAGTCTTCGAGAGAAAGGTTTTGCGTAAGATTTATGGTCCTTTGCGCATTGGCAACAGCGAATACCGCAGACAATGGAACGTTGAGCTGTGTGAGTTATACGGCGACATTGATTTAGTTCAGTGAATGAAGAACAGCGGCTACGCAGGCTAAGTCATGTCGTCCGAATGGCTGAAAGCACTCCAGCTTTGAAAGTATTCGATGCAGTACCAGCTGATGGCAGCAGAGGCAGAGGAAGGCGTCCACACCGTTGGAAGGTTAAGGCGTAGAGTGAGCTGGCCTCACTTGATATTTCCAACTGGCGCCAAGCAGTCCTTCCAGCAGCCTTGAATGCGGTCTTTTTGCGAGTAGCAAAACATTGGAAGTTTAGCTTGTTTCCAGTTTTTTCGCTTGAAGAAAAAATTTTACTTCTTTTTGCATACTTTTCTATAGGGACACCTCTGATTGTCTTCAATACCCCCGAGATCTGGTACTCGGTAAACATGTTTGATTTTGAATACAACATTTTTTACAAAATTTCCATAACAGAGGCTAGGTACCTAGTTGAGGCTAGAGTGACCGATCGGGTCTCATATACTCGTAGACGATAATACGTTCATAGTCCTTTTTGTGGCTCTAGTGTTATGAATATTGCGTTTCTTTTAACCAAATGAAGTAGTTCTTTTGGCCCCTCGGTCAGTGTCTAATAAAGCTTCTGTTGCCTTACTGCGCTGAGTAAACACAGCATTTGCCTACCAAATACTGAACACTCAAAGATTACGCATTCCACTGGCTCTACACATTCCCAACATATCCTGCAGAGAAAAGACTAATCCAGCCAAACTCTTTTTGTCTATTTTTATACACATTTTTTTCTATCCACTGAATGGAAATTCGCAATGATTTTCAAAAAAAAATTCACTTCATCACAGCATAAAATTGCAAAGTGAAATATCATCACGTCCAAATTGCCACTTAACGGAGTCCGAAAGCACAAAATGAGCAACTGATTTACATTTGAAATGCGAAATGTGCTCTAAGCCACTCGACAACGTCAAATTCAATCATGCAAAGCCGCAAAATGTTGTCACTGAAAGTCCGATAACACAAAATGGCAACCGAAATAATGCCAAGCGGCGGAAAATCGCTGTGGGTGAGGGATGAAAAATGCTGGTGAATGCGGACAAGTCAGCGTGTCGGCAATCTCAGCCAATGTTTGCGGGTATTTTCTGCCTTTTTACATGTCACACACATACATACATGCAGCTATAGTCATCAGAATATAAACGCATAAACATATCAACAGCCCGAAGGACTATTTGTGGAGTACCAATGACGGAAATGACTCGTCAGTAAATCAATACAAGAAAAAATCTGCCTAAAAACCAACAAACAAATAAATATATTGACATTTGTATGCATAGTTGCCGCAGCATAGACATGCAAATATATATATGCTTTCATATACACACATACATATATATATATATATATATATATATTTAACAGCACATAAATCATGCAGACTAAGGCAGACAAATTTTTCAAGTTGATTTGGCAATTTGTTTTGACTGCAAAGTGAACGAAAATTCAGTTCAATCTCGCTTTTTCTGTGTTTTATTTTCGAGCAAAAGCGAGTTCAAACTATTTGGCACTCGTGGTGTTGTTATGATTTGAAAGTTTCAGCAATATTGGAAATAAATGCTCCACTAAGGATAGTTGGCGATACAGACAGGCAGGCAGCCAAAGAGGTCAGCGTCAGGCCATAGAGGTCAACTAAGTTCAGGTTAAGAATTTCAATTCTGAGATGCAGAGGTGATAACATGTCGCTGCGAGAAAATAATAAATGAAAGGGGTTATCAGCTATGGTAATAGCTTGATATTGGCGTGTGGCCAAGATATTGGTGTCTAAGGTTCGAAAGTAACCGGATATCTCACCGATCTTTCTCATTTCTTTACTGCACGACCCTTACAGCTTTGTCTTGCGATATTTTCGCCTACCCTTTTCTTTAGCTGGATGAAGGGGTACCGTCTCAAACGAGATGTGAAAGTAGATGACGTCAAAATTTCCAGAAGCAACAATCCGAAGTTACTGAGAGTCACATTTGACAGCCTGCAATTCTTCACTCCGCAAACGACTACAATTGCCATAAAATAAAATAGCCGCAAAAAAATTCTAAAAGCATTAGCCGGCAGCACCTGGGGATTATACAAAGAAACCTTGCTTTAAACATACAAAGCAATTGAACGGCCGATCGTGAAATATGTTGCTCGAATCTGGAAACCGGTCACCAGCGAGACGCAGATGAAGTTGCTATAAGCCTCTCAGAATGCTGTCCTTAGAACCGTGTGACCGGAAACATGCTGATGTCGCTGGAGTATCTCTTGCAATAACCACTGGGATGCCACCATAGGGAGCACGCCAACAGGCATTTACTTGCAGTCGAGCCACTACCTAGGCACATCAGTAAGTGGGTAATTGACTACAAGGACTGTATTCAGCATCATGTATAATAACTGGACGGCATACCAGCAGTTTTTAAACACTATGCACTGAAAGACTGCTAACATCTTCTAGAACTCTCTTCCAGTGAACGGCGTTCAACACGGCCCACTGCAGGCGAAGAGAGCACCAAGTAATACTGGCTCAATTAAGATCCTTTCCATCTGGCTCGAACCCGTCGAAACAGCTCGTTTTTTGGACTACCCTTTGGACGACGTCGTTGACTTAGACTGATCTTGCTCGCTTCTAAGAGTGGTTAGACTAGCCGTCCTCTTTTGACAATACAAAACCAAGCACTACAAATGTCTTATCATTCCAAAAATTCGTCTTCGTGGAATATTGATATTCCTTGGCCGATAAAAATCCTCGGTGGTTCCGGTATAAAGACCCGATTGTCATGGAAACTATTGTATCTTAAAGTGAACGATATAACTCGGTAACTGGGTCCTCCTCCTATCATGTGCAGGCCTTTCTATCTTATTTAGTTCTTATCCCGTTCTTTGTATTTCTTGAATGGTACTGATGCCAGCCTTGCTTTTTGTCATGGCATCAGCCAGCTGTGCACCCGTTAAAGTGTCATATAGCAGGTCGGGTATGATAAGGGACTTGTAGGGTTTGACTTTCGTTCGTCGGGTGGGGACTTTAATTTTCAACTGCCTGCTCAGTCAAAACTAGCGCCTGTTGGCAAGAGTGATTCTGCGTTGGATTTCCAGGCTGACATTATTGTTGCTGTTAATACTAGTTCCAAGATAGACGAAGTTATCTACGACTTCAAAGTTATGACTATCGGCAGTGACGTGGGAGCCGAACACTGTTTGTGTGATGACAGAAGATATTTCGTCTGGTCCTCATTCACTACCTAAACCATTTGCTTCGCTTCTTCATCATGTCTGGACAAAGCAGAACTGATGGCGCGGTTGTTGTGGTTGTTAATATCATCGGCGTACGCCAGCAACTGCACACTCTTATAGAAGATTGTACCTTCTCCATTCAGCTCTGCAGCTCGTATTATTTTCTCCAGCATCAAATTAAAGAAATGCCACGATAAGGAATCGCCTTGTCTGAAATCTCGTTTGGTATCGAACGGCTCGGAGGGGTCCTTCCCGATCCTGACGGAGCTTTCGGTCGTATAAGTTTAGCGGGGGTAACAATTTATTTAACCTTTTTTCAAGTGAATTTGCTATAAATGGTAGATATGTTGGTCCTCTTATCGAGGCTGAAAAATAACCCGACTTCTCTTAATTGCAGCTTACATTATTTAAGTCTTCAGAAATCTCTCTTTTGCCTATCCGTAGAAAATATCGCTAAAATTTTAATTTTATTATCACTTATGTCACACATTTCTTGCTGAAAAAAGGCGGTAATTTACAATTATTTATCAGCTAATTGACTGTTAACCCATAATTTCACCGTTAAAATGTAAAATTTACTCATAAATGCATTAAATCATTATTTAAAAGCCTTCACATTTTCTACTTAAATTTGTACGCCCCACTCTTTATGAGTTTCTATAGAAAATCTTAATGAATTTTTTATGAATTTCTCTTTGTCCACTCATTTTCATTACAGCTCTACTGAGAATAACTCAACGGGTGGCAATAATGAGGACGTCACCACCAGCACCAGCAACAATTCCACACAAACGCCAAGCGACTTAAGCCCACCGGGTCCGAATGAGGAGGTTTTGCCACAGGCGCATCATCAAAATCCCGGACATTGCATCGCCTCCTTTGCGGCCATCAATCAAATGCGCAACAACACGCAGGTGTGTACTTTACAGGCATACATACATACATACATACATGGACGAAGTGCTAAATGTTTACAAACATTTTCAATTAGTGATAAGCAAAAGCGTTGAAAGAAAACATTGAACAAAGTAAGCAACAGGCGTTGAAGGCGGTGTGAGTGGCGCGACCAGGTGGTTTAATTAATCACACAAACAATTGCTTTTGTTTTTTTTTTTTTAATTTTTCTTTTTTTTACTTTTTTTTATATATTTTATTAATTAAGCTGCCAAGTAGTGCCTCGCGAGTTTGTTGTTGCATAGTTGGAGAAGTCATTGCTCCCGCAAATTTAAATTTTCCGTAACAGTATTTTCGTAATTTGTTGAAATCATTGAAGCGCACGCAAGTGTCACGCATGCACTCGCCTGTCCATTAGCCTATTGGCGCGCTCAGCAAGAGGTACCGTTAAAGCTTCGCATTGAAATGTGAAATTAGAAATTTTTCACAGCTTAAGCGGCGGTTGTGTGTTATGATATACATAAGTATATATGTATGTAGGCATGTTGTATTTGTTTTTTTTTTATATTAACTTGATAATTCATTTAATTTGTGACAGCTTAGTCAATTGAGCTTTTACATATTTATACTATTTTTATACTATGAGCACAGCAGCGCAACGGTTAGCGCCGTTATGTGTGCACGCTTGGGTCAATGAACAGTTTTCGTGTCGTGCAAATAAAATTGAATATATTATTAGTTATGTGCAAAAATATGCTTGTAACGGTACTACAAATTGAATTAAATTATTAATAATCATTCTGTAATTTTTATAGTTGCCGCTTGATAACCACTCAAGCGATTTTCGGGCGAACTACGAAATACTTCAACTTATGACATTCCTGTGGTTCTGCCAATAAATGGAGGGGCTTACAATTTATTCCAAGCCACCTCCGAATGGCTGATGAATTTTTCTGAGGAGCTTTTTGATTTTATGTCAGAAATACGCTCGGTGCGCTTGACATTCGCTGCCGAGCGGTGAAAAAGACTGCAATTTTTTAATTAATTTTCAATAATTATTGATTTAACACTGCTAACCATGCGAGTCAGGCGGACGCATTTAATTTTATTCTTCTTCTACTAAAAATTATCAGAATCACTTTCATTTTCATACAAATATTTTTATTCATATTCGTATTTATACCCATATAAAATATATTTTCATTGTTAGAAGTACTTTCACTCTTTCAAAATAAGTATAATCATATTCTGACTCCCACACGCACTCATACTCATACTCATATTTCCATTTATTTTCATACCCATATTCATATTCATGTCCACTCTTATACAAATACTACTAGCCATACTCGTATTCATACTCATGTTCTTTTTCATATTCACTCTCTTAACTAATAGTCATATTCATACAATCATACTCACACTCATACTCGTATTCATATTCATATTATATTATTTCATATCTACTTCTATTGTCCTTTTCATATTCATTTTCAAAATCATATTTATACTTAAATCAAACTTATATTCATATTTATATACATATTGACACTTATACTCACAGCCATACTCACACTCACACCGATACTCAAATACATGTTTACATTCATATTTCTATTATATTCAAATTCCCATATACTTATTTTCATTCATATTCAAATTTCTGTATACGCTCACATTAAGACTCAAAACCACAGGTATACTCATATTCATACCCATATTCGTATTCGCTTTCACATTCTTACTCATATTCGTATTCATGTTCACTCTTAACCATACTGGTATTCATACTCATGTTCTTATTCATATTCACTCTCTTAGCCTGTAGTCATATTCATACAATCATGTTTATACTCTTATTCAAACTCATTTTTCAATATACATACATTTATACTCATATTCACTCTTTTAATCTATACTCATATTCATACATTTAATTCATATTCACTCTCTCAACCTATACTCATATTCATACATTCATACTCATAGTTATACTCGTACGCATATTCATACTAATGCTCATATTCATACTCTTTCTTTCAACCTATGCTTATATTCACTTTCATACTCTACTACACTAAAACTCATACTATAATTTATATCTATATTCACACTCATTCGCATATTCATTTATTCATATTCATACTAAATTATACATTCATCTCATACTACCACTCACATTAATATTCATATAGAACTATAAAAATGGGTTCAATATTCATCTTCAATTCCATATGAACTTTAACTTGATACTCAAATTATGACTCATACCCATAGTCATAAGTATGAATATGTATAGATATATACAAATTAATATTCATTTTTTTTTTTGCTTCCAGCTCAGCTCGATTCATGCTCATACTTACTTCTTATACTCATACTCATATTCACACTTACTCGTTTGAATACTCGTATATATAATTGGCGTTTTGTAACCGTTTTGTAATGGAGGGACCTACAGTTTATACTAAGCCGCCACCGAACGGCTGACGGGTTTTTTATGAGGAGCTTTATTTCAAGTCAGCGATCGCAATTAGAAAATTTAACTTAAACTCATCCTTATATCCATATTCGTATTTATTTAGTGAATTATCAAACATCTTAGACCCAGTCAACAGTGAACGCATCAAATTTGCTTGATCATGGCATGTGTAGAATGGAGGGCACTGAATAGATAGATCTTTGACTTTAATTAATTAAACAAATTGTCAAGTACAAAACGTTTGCTAAAGATAGCCAATTACCTAAACGCGGGTGTACATTATATATTTACAACGTTATTTTTTGTAAATTACTAAATAATCTAAACCGTGCTAATAGATATCGCAGTGGTTGTGCTTAATGAAACCTATAAATCGAAAAGGTGTAGAAATGACTGACACCCGATCCAAGGCCTAGCAAAGTATCGAAGTTTGTGCAACCTGAAAAACATAATGAGAAAAAAGTGCTGTAGTTTACGCTATTTGAATCTCGAATCGGAAAAATCACTTTTATTGTGGGCTATACAATATTGGCTTCCGAATTCGATTATTTTCAGGGTCGATATTAATCTGAATTTACGTGCCAAATTTAGGTGCTTTTTTGACAGATTTTTAACCAAAAACCTAATAGCTGAATAAATCGTTTGTATACGAGAAATAATCAATACAGTTTAAAAATATATCTATGTGCCCAGTTTGATTGATATCTCCACAGAGGAAGTAATTTGCCTTCAAACCGCTGATCAGACAACTCGTTCAACGTTCTAATCCGGTCGGTATAAATTTTAGTAAATCTCTCTCTTCTCCTTATGATACTCACATACTTCGGACCAAAGTTAATATAAAGAATTGTGCCGGCAAATAGTACAAAAACTTATTCAAATGAGAAAAAAAATTTTATTAGTGTGAAATATTTTGAGCGAAAATTTAAATATATTTTCACAAAAATTTTAAAAATAACTAATTTTGTACTCATCATGATCCACTATGCAGATAACTCAAACTACCCACAACTATCAGCCTCTTTTGGAGCGCACTTTATTATCGCGAATCAAAAACCAATTAGGAACAATTTAATTGTGATTTTCTCTTGTTTATTTATTTATTCATTTTTTTTTTCTTTATTTTGTTTTATTTTTTTTTATTTTTGTCTTAAATATATTTTGACACGCAGCTGCTTTATTTGCTTACTTGAGCTAAAGCAAGTAATAAATGGTAATTACACACACACATGATCAACAGAATCCACGCTATAAAAATCTTGTACACAATCATCGTTAACGCCTTACATAAATAATAGTCATCATCATTGCTGTCATTTGCTTTGATTGACAACTTTTTGCGTGAAGTTTATACGCACGTGGTGGTCGCCAGTGCTGAATGTTCATAAAAGAATATCTCAAAGCCCACACACGCACACGAGTATGGATCTCAAGCTCACTGTACGAACAGCAGCAACTTTTCTGGCAGCGTATGGAACTTTCAGCCCACGGGGGCGTATGAGTGTTTTACATGTAATTATTACGCTGGGCGTGCTGTGCAGCTAACGTTGGGCACTCTGTTGTCGAGCATTGATTGTTTTGGCTCGGTTGCTGGGTTGCACAGTAGTTTGTGCGTGTGTATTGCTTTTTGAAGTTGATAATTGTTCAAAGATTCTTTTTTTTTCAAATATTTTTTATTTATGTACGAGTATGTATGTACATATATTTTTGCGCCAAATGATGTCTGCAAATAAATAAAAGAGAATTAAATATATTCTTCTTAATGTTAAATTTTTAATGAATGTAATACAAGTTTGATTTTATTCTCTGAAATTCATTCCGAAAAATAAAAAAAAAAAATTTTTTATTTAATTACAATAGATGAACCAACAAAATATTTGTCTCAATATGATTGGTATTCTGTCCAACTCAAATTTTAAATAAATCGTGTAAGACCATTTTAGATTAGACCGATTCTTTATCTGCTTCCCGGACGCCGCTTAACTTAATTTCGGCAATAATAAAATTTAAATAAAATATTCTCGGAATATAATTTTCCTGACATGTGGCTACTTTTTCAAATAATATGTCTCACTACCAGTTTCAACAAAGCTGTACGGAAAACTTGATCAAAATCGGCTCAAGAGCTGCGGTGTCTATAGGTGGCATAGGTACATACGAACAACCATTCTCCAGCGAACTTAAATTCTGTTTTTCCGAATAGATTGGCAGCAGGTTGACTTCTATGTCAGTCTAGGCAAAGTGCTACCTCTGTACAAGAAGTTGTATATATAAAAAACATTTGTCTGTATGTCTGTTTCCGGTGATCTATGAAACTATGAAACTATCCAACAGGTTAAACTAGAAATTTCCCAATTTGTTTCCTTAGTTCCTGGAAAGGTCTGTGAGAAAATAGTGTTTTTTTTCGGTGAGTAGTCCGGTGTCTGACTCTTGACTTGAAAGTCGGTACATAGAAGACTTTAACTTGCATGGATTGACAGAAATACTACTCTACTCTCAGGCATCTAGACCAGCAGCCAATTTTTTTGAAAAAATTAT